GTAATGAATTCATAAATGAATCATCAAGAGATAATGTGGATTAAACTGTTTGACATTTATTTATTAACAGGGGAAATTTGAATATTAGTAAAACAGGTCATATTAACAAGAGCTGTCAGAAGGACAGCGCGCTCGACTTTTTTAGTGCTTGCCTATAAATCAAAACTTTGACAGTTAAGGGCACACAAGACTTTAACTAGGAATTTCTAAGTACAAATCAAGAAACATTTTCACAGAGTTATCTTCTCTTGCTTACAGATAGGTCTCATGATGGCACATAAGAACTCCAACTTCCAAAGTAATATCTCAAATGGTTAAGTCAACAAGTGGACAAGAATGAAAATCTTAACTGAGTTTCTAAGTCAAAAAGGGCCATAATTCAAATAAAATCCTTAACAGAATTACCTTCTCCTGCCCATGTTTTGGGACCATGATGGTAAACAAGTATTCCAACTTTCAAATTAATATCTCAAACAGTTCAGTCAAAAAGTGGACTGGTACTAAAAACTTAACCAAGATTCTAAGTCGATAAAAGGCCTTAATTTTTAAAACAAATCCTTGACAGAGTTACCTTCTCTTGCGTACAGATGGGGGTAATGATGTGAAATAGCATTAAAAGTTTCAAAGCAATATCTCAAAGGGTTAAGGCAATAAGTGGATTTTACCCATATTCAATGTATTTTCTAAGTCAAAAAGGGGCATAATTCTGTCAAAAACCTTGACAGAGTTATGTCCTCTTGTCTGTTGATAAAGGTCGTGATGGTAAACAAGTATGGTCAGTTTCAAAGCAATACCTCCAATGGTTTTGAAATAAAGTGAGGTGGTACAAAAAACTTAACCAAGCTCAATACACTTTCTAAGTCAAAAAAGGGCCATAATTCTGTCAAAAACCTTGACAGAGTTATGTACTCTTGTCTGTAGATGGAGGTTATGATGGTGAACAAGTATGGTAAGTTTCAAAGCCATACTTGTAATACTTCTGAAATAAAGTGGGGTGGTACGAAAAACTTAACCAAGGTGTGACGCCAACGCTAACGCCGACGCCGACGCCGACGCCGGGGCGAGTAGGATAGCTCCCCTTTTCATAGAAAAGTCGAGCTAAAAATTGAGTAAGTCAATTGTTCTGATCATGTAATCACATTATTATGGGTAAAACTGATGAATGTTCCTTAATTTTGCTTTGAGAAAACCTATCAATGTTGGATAAAGTTATTCAGTGATATAGATAGGCTGTATACCATCTGTTATGAGATATAATTATATTGGGTAAAGTAGATTCAATGTGATGTTATAGGAAGTATATGGAGTGAAATTGATTCAATGACATTTGTAAACTGTAAAATGAAGTCATGCTGTAGGTAATAAAGGGATTAGATATAATTATCTAATCATTGACAGAACCAATCACCAGTGAAGTGTAAATCTGAAGTATGTTTTTTTACTTTTCTTGTGTTTAAGTTTTTCAGTCATGAAATCGTATCACGGTCAAAAGACATTTTGCTAAGCAGATTTGCATAAACTTTGTTTATCAAGCATTGAAAAGCTAAAATTGAATACAAAGCATGTTTGAATTGAATACTGGAGATTTAAATTCATATAAAACATACTAGTATCAGTTTTTATAAATTAAAGTCACAATATGTAATTTACTTTAATTGTATGCAGCAATACGGCTGATACAGGATTATTCCATTATTCCCAGTGTCATTATAAAATAGCCCCTTAAAATAAACTGTTAACCTATAGTAATAGTAAAATGTCACAAAGGAATTGCTGGGTATTATCAAAAGTCCAATCAACGCATGAGAGCAGCAAGTTATACCAAATACCTTCAAAAATAATTCTACCATCTAAATAAAATCTAACTATAAGGAGGTAGATAATAAATTTCTACTTGGGAATTTTCTATGTAAAATGTTAATGAAAAGGAAAGCATGACAAAATATTTTTTCAATTCTTAAAAAATTATTATTTATACAAAAGTCTTGGCTGATGGAAAAGAAATGAAAAGAAATAATACACCTTTTGAAATAGATTTTTTCTAAAGTGATCAATATTTCATCTGGATAAAAAAAAAACACAATAAAAACTCTTCTTTTGAGATAGTTTATACATGTAATTGCATTTTACTAATCAAATTGTAGTGTTTCTATTCTAAATTTTTGCAATAAAGCTAAAAAGCTAATAATTAACAAAGCAAAAAATATTTTTTAGTTGTGTATAATATTTAAGCTATCAGCAAAGCAAGTCGCGCTCAATTTGACCTAAACAAGCTACAAAATTTTCAAACTAATAAATTGGTCCAACAGCAATTTAATGCAGATAACAAATTGGGCCACTATAGGGCCGATATTGGTTCAAATGTTAGGCAAATATAGCTTTATTTTGATGGCAAACAGGTATAAGATTAATGTACTCACAGTTCTGACGTCTGCTGCATGTGAACTCTCGTCTTCTTCTACACCAACCCTGTAAGTAAATCATATACAGTCTAACTTGCCCATGCGACCATGTGTATTAAGAGACTTTTGTCTTAAACGACCACTTTAAATTCCCCCCGATCATTTTCTCTCTATATCTTTAATGTTTTAAGCGACATTTGCTCAACGCGACCAGCGACCGCTAATTAGTCACCTAATTGACATCAATCTTTTCATTAAACGACCACTTTTACCTGTCAAGTAATTGTGTTTTTAGAGAACGCCACCTCGTTATGTCACAAGTGACAACAATCAAAAAACAACAATTAACGTGTGAAAAACTCTATTTCCCAAACCGTTTTAGCGTATGCAATTGAAGTTAAGTATACGCGTGACGTGTATTATCCAATAATATCGGATAAACAATGAAACGCTCCGCCCATACTGAGATGGTGTATACGCTTCGCTGGTTGACATTTAGACTGCATTGAATTGACCTTGAACTTGATCAGCCATTAAATTAATCGTAACAAATAGATGTAGTTTGTTTATTTCAAATGAAAAAAATGCACAACAGAAAACATCTTCACTAATAGGGTTTTCGTGTTGGAGACAAGGAAAAACAACGGAGAAGTTAAAAAATTCTGGAAAAAATGTCAAACATGTACGTAATGGATCTTGAAACTGTTTTGTCAATAAATATCAGAAAGTTATTTTTTACATTTGCATCCATTTAGATTATCGGAGCGTACTTTTTTTCAACATTTATATAAAAATGAAGTTGAAAAACAATCCCACCGAATAAAAAAGATGTCATTTATAAATTTTGACTTTTATATCATGCTGACTGTCTTAAGAGACCGTTTCATTAAGCGACCGTTTTGGGTGTTTCCCTTGCCCGGTCGCTTAATACACGTTTGACTGTATACAAATACTTACATCAAACTATAAACTGCTGAATATGTGTAATGGATTTGACCTGTTTTTCAATTTGGAATAGTCCATTGAAAATTTTTGGGATTAAGTTTTTATGAATTTGTTTTAGTTAGATAAACATGGAAGCTATAAGCTCTCAAATCTGTTCTCTTGGAACCATCCAGTAACTTAGCAACGGGTGTAAAGTTTCTTGCTCATGAAAAACAACAGCTTGCCTCACCCACATGGCAAGCAAATCTTAGGATCAAAATGTCCCCCAGTTGGAGTCCTGTCAAGAATAATGCTAATTTCCATGTGTAAAAAAATTTACTTTACATTGATTCCTTTCACTGAGGTGTAAATTAGTAACATATATTGCTTTATAAATCAAAGGGGCCATTATGTGGGCAGTCATAAGTGGAGTGAAAGGCTGCTTAGATAGCACAACAGGTTAACATCAAGGGAGACAAAGACATAGAAATTGTGAGCAAATAATCATGAAATTGAAAATTCAATTAATTTAATGTTTTATTCTTTCATTAAAGTATAAGTGATAATCATTTTAAGTTTGGAAACAGTATTCAAAGTATGCAGCAGAAACAAAACAAGAGCAGTATCACATGGTAATCCAATAATCATACCATAGCATAATCATTTGAGAATATACAACTAGAAATGTGTCCATAGGACACGGATGCCCCCACATGCCACTGTTCTGTCAATCTTATGACTCTAGGTCGCAGCAAAAATTCCTTCCTTTACTGCCATCTACACATTAAGGTTGTTCATCCCTGGAAGTTTAAGCAAAATCTGCCATCCGGTTTAAGAGGAGTTGCATTCACAAAATTTCTACATAGTATATAGTGAAAAAATCAACAAAGGGCCATAATTCTGTAAAATTTGGTTGCAGCAAAAATTCCTTCCTTTACTACCATCTACACCTTAAGGTTGTTCATCCCTGTAAGTTTAAGCAAAATCTGCCATTTTGTTTAAGAGGAGTTGCGTTCACAAAATTTCTACAATAGTATAAAGTGAAAAAATCAACAAAGGGCCATAATTCTGTTAAATTTGGTCGCAGCAAAAATTCCTTCCTTTACTTCCATCTACACATTAAGGTTGTTCATCCCTGTAAGTTTAAGCAAAATCTGCCATCCGGTTTAAGAGGAGTTGCGTTCACAAAATTTCTACATAGTATCTAGTGAAAAAATCAACAAAGGGCCATTATTCTGTTAAATTTGGTCGCAGCAAAAATTCCTTTCTTTACTGCCATCTACACATTAAGGTTGTTCATCCCGGTAAGTTTAAGCAAAATCTGCCATCCGGTTTAAGAGGAGTTGCGTTCACAAGATTTCGGGACGTACGGACGGACAGCCGTACAGACTGACGGACGGACGGATGGACAAATGCAACGCTATATGCTCCCACATTGTGGGGGCATAAAAACAATGTTTACCTTATTTTGAATAGCTGTAAAAGAGGTGTAACAAATCCTCCACAAATCATCACAGTTACTAGAACTATCACCATGGTAGCAGACAACATATGTTGCCGAGCTTCACTTGATGTGTTACGTATTGCTAATGCATATGCGATAGCTCCTCGTAAACCTAAACAACACAATTACAATGTATCAATGTATCTTAAAGGGTATTATATGATTATAAACTGCAGAAATAAAGGCAAAATATTAGGATAGAAGTACCCATATTTATAATGATACTTTTATGATAATAAAGCAATACTTTCAATATATTGCTTAGTAAGAACTGTTGAAATTATTAAGTAATATATGAAAACTTCACAAAAGTACAAAAGTATGAATTGGTTGTAATCTATTTTCTATAAAAAATGACTCTTTATGTCTCAAATGCATCTTAGCAAGAGAGATAATATAGATTATAAGACAACGTGTCTTAGACTCAAACTGATACACCAATAAAAAAATTTCAAATGGCCTTTAAGTAAAGATTTATTTCATTTAGGTATGTACCTAAACATAAAACCTTAACCAAGAAATTTTAATTTAAAAAGGGAGCTTAAGTGAGAAAAATATATTGAATATATATTTTATATATGACTGATGGAAAAACTTGAATATATACCTGAGAACATCATCATATGCATCAGATTTGCAGATATTTTATTCCTCCTTCCTAGGTTTAATAAAAATGAGAGTGGGTATATATTTATAGCTCTTCCTATGATGATAGATACCTGGTTACATTTGTCAAGGAAAAAACTTATTATTCATTTCTTTGCAAGTAGTTAAAATAAAAGGTTTCATAAATATACATCAGTAGATTCAGCAGTCTCTGATAATGTAGCAATATAGGATTGTAACATGTAAAAATTTATTACTTCTAAAATTCCAGTTTCTTAGGTTTGTTTGTTTCATTTTTCGCCTTTTCCCAACAGTATTTTAGTCATATAGGCGGGAAGTTTCCTAACCATCATTCCTGGAGAGTTACACCAGTACTAGACTATCTTCCTCCGCGCTAAACTACCAAAGCATTTCCCGGGGATCGAACCCACGCCAGAGAGGTGACTGGATTAGAAGTCATCGACTCTAACCCCTCAACCACGGAGGCGGTCTTAGTTTCTTAATAGTGAGGGTCAAATAAATGTAATGTTATAATAAATGTCTTATTTAAGACAGAAAAGGATACAAATGATGCTAAAATAAACCAGGCATTCCATTTCACATTTTCAAATGTAAACACCGACACTCCTATATACAGGAATACAAAGTTCTCTGCCAGAAAGTTCATTAACTCAAATAACTGAAATAAAATAAAAGGTATCATTTATATGCATATTGTAGACATGTTAAATCAACTAAAGATTATACATGTTGTCAGTCACCAAATAGTTGTAAAAAAAATTTTAAATTTCAATTGAATATTGTAATATTGAAGATCCGAAGGGCCCTAATGGATTATGGGTAAATATTATAATAAAATATGACAATTCACATGTTAATTAACATAAACTGGTTATATATTGCACACAAGCCTGTAAGTAACCATAAGTGGATTGAAGTAAAAATTTAATTTATCAGAACAGAACAGAACATTTCTTTTAGATTTAACCATTATAGTTTATTATCATCAACCATTAAGTATATACATATAATTTACAAATAAATAAGTAGCAAACAAAAATCATGAATTGAATTATATACATCATTATGGCCACATAAATGAATTGTTATCATTATAATATTTAAAATGAAACACATTAAGACAACAGGTATATATCACTAACTTGTTTTGTTCTGGCCTTTGATTCATCTGAGAGATTATTGTGTGTATAATGAGCTTGACAGATACCACAGAATAAAACAGCCACAATACCTGAAATTATAACAAAATATATGTGTACAAAATAGTCACACACAAAAATGATTGAGATATTTTTTTATTCTGAAAAAGAAAACAAATAAAAAACACCCCATTAAAAAATAAAGAAAAGAAAACTGAAACTTAAGTATTATAAAATCAGTTATATTTCAAAAAATTCAAATGATATTTCAAAATATTCAAATGAAACTATCATCATGTCCCATAGTATAGTTAATCTACCTTAAAGCCTCGAAGGTGAAGTTGTTTAATGTTCTAATCCTGGAAGTGTCTACTGTTATTTTCATTTGTTAAATGTCAATACACTTAAAAAAAATTATATGAAATATTAATATTTTGCTGCCAACATCTACACAGACGAGACTTTATGCTAATAAAATGGTGCTAATCATCCCTATTATATCAAGAATTACTGTATATTTCTTTCTATACTTAGTTGGTAGTCAAATGTTTTAACATTAACATTTCACTTGCTAAATGTGTGTAATATTTTGCATTGCTTTAAATTTAGAACAATCCATTCAAAGTTTCAGGAATTTCAATATCAAAGTACAAAAATTGACCTAAAAACAGTACAGAGTCTAGTAGATTTAATGCATGTACATGCTTGCCTTGCTCTATGCATGTGGAAAAGGCTCAACAAAGGGGTTAAAGGGACTCCACTGTGTTCTGGAACATCTCGAAAACTTATTTCCAGTCAGTGGAATCCCTTTAAAGTTATATATCAATGTATTACAATACATGTATTACAATAATATGAAACAATTATTCTATACCCGTAAGTCCAGTGGCTTCAGCTGTCTGAAATGATGCATAAGACATGAGAAAAAACAGAGCTGTCTCAAGAAGAGGGAACTCGCGGATCTTTGTATACTTCGTTAATAATGCTGTCGCCATTCCAATCAGAGAACCAATAAGAAACGCCCCTCCAAATATACCCGCAAAGTTTCCAAGAGCTTTGAAAAATGCATGGACACTGAATCCTGCAGATTTCTCCTTCCCATAAGCTTCCACAGAACTGGAATAAAGAATGACGTTGTAAATTGATAAATTAAAGTAATAGACCTATGTGTCTACTTGTTTCTAATCAAAATACACTATAATTATTCTACCATCTGCAAATTAATACTGAGCATTATAAGTTAGCAGTTAAAAGAATGATGAACAATAAATATTCCTCTTCTTGCCCTGTAGATTTTAAATTTGCATATAACAGAATAAAAGGCTTTTATTTTGTAGATGAGATTAATAAACCAAACAGCAATAACTTTAGCTGCTAGAGCCTGAAAAAGATTAGCTTTTGCCAACAATAAAGAGCAAGGTCATCGTGTAAGGTCATACGTTCATTCTGACCAGGCTCTAAATTGCTGGTAGCACAATAGTTGCATTTTGATATTAAAATTCCAATTCCAAAAACTTTAAATGGTTTGTTCCAAAATTGAAATACAAAGCTGGGTTAATTTGTTACAATATTCTGCAGGTTAAAGACTCAAATATGCTGTTTTTAAACAATGATAGATTGCATTGACCATTTTATTTCTCTATGAATAATTATGTTCTGACTATAGGTTAGTTGAAAATACATGTAGATGTAAATACCTCAAAATAATGACTTTTCTACAAATAATTCATGTGAACAAGTTAGAAACATTTCATGAGAAACCTTTTTTTCATCCGTATGAAACTTTATACATATATGCCAAAATTAAGTTTGACAATAAAATTATCAAAAATTTTATAATGATGAATGACTGAATAAATAAATGATATATTACATTGTAAGTGAAGAAATGAGAATAAATGTAAAACAAAGTAAATGCATTTCTAATCTCTGGAGCAATTCCATATATCTTAGTTATGTCTAAAATATACATTATGTTTATTCCTATGTCATGATAAAATAGTCACTATAATGGAGGAAAAAGTTAGAGTCTTTGTAAATTTCTGTTCATTTCAAAGATTAATTAAAGGGAAAAATTAACAAATTTAAACAATTGGATGTATTTTTTTTTCATTATATACACATAAAATTTATTGATCAGTAAACTCCAAGAAATACTAGGAACTGCTCAAAAGAAGATACACAAATACACATGACAATGCATAAGCTAAGAACAAGTAATTTAACACTATAATTTTACTGTTTTCCATATTTCATAATATAAATGTCAAAAAAATTTGATCTACTAAATGTAATTTTCATGATCATTTGAATTTTTTATTGGGAAATAATACATAAGCTCAACCCATACACTATGATAAAAATGTGATCATGCAGTGTTTATCTAATGCAGCAGTCTTACACAAGCACTAATTTTTGGTATTTACTTCTTAACCTTTAACCTGTTGAAACCAAAATAGATCTGCCTTTACCAAAAGTATAGAACCAGGCTGGCCTGAAAATCTGTGTAGTCTGACCAGGCTCAAAACTGTTGGTAATGAATTTCCAGCAGTATAAAACCAGGCAAGCCTGAAAATCTGCGTAGTCTGACAGGGCTTTATACTGTTGGTAGTGTAATGGACTGTTCTAAATTCAAAGCAAGGCAAATCCATTTCACAAAGTCAGCAGGTTAAAAGTTTATTTATAGACATTATGTAACAACCAATAACTTCTTCTAGTTGAGGAACCAATTTCCATGGTAACAAGTATTGACGGGTCATAGGATAGGCTTACTACTGTGTATATAGTTGTCCATGGATGATTATTCGAAATATAATTACATGTATATTCAATACAAAGGGAGATAATTCAAAAACTTAACTATAATATCAGTGTATATCATTTACCATACAAGGGAGATAATCTATATTGTTTCGGAGTTTTGGAGATTTCCTGTTATGAAATATTTCTGGAACAATATTATGCAGCAAAAGAAACACAGAATAAAACTTCAAAATATGATAAAAGTTAATCAAAAATAATCTCACAACATGATGTTTCAAGTACAGTAAATTGCAACAGGATGCAAATGTTTACATGCCAAAATAATCTATGCAACATTAGTCTCAAAATCAATAGCAAAAAAGGATGCAAGATATTTAGATTTTACAGTCAGAATAAAACCTTTATTCATTGAATTTCATGTGACATAATACTATTACAGTCATTTGACAACTTTCAAGCTTAACCATTGGATAATGAACAGCAATGCATTTTTCAATGCATCATTTGAGACAAAAACAAGCACATTTAATGTTCTGCTCTTTAATTGACAGTTTCATATACCAAATTTATTGGTGATTCTGTTTCATCATTAAATTTTGGTCTAATATTAAAGTGCAAATACATGTACTGTTTACCCAAGGTACAGCATAATTCGAAGGTACTGTATTAAATTTTCACAGAGTGACCATACAGTTGTGTTTGTATTGCATGCACCAGTAAACAAAGTGACATAAAGATGCATCAAGACATGATAAATGAGGTCAAGCAGTGCTGTTTTCTGCAAAAGATGATGATGATGCTGCTGCTGATGATGATGATGATGATAATGATGATGCTAATGATGATGATGAGAAAGATGACATTTATGATAAGGATAATGATGAAGTTGATTATATGTATGATGGTGTTAATTATGAAAAATTAACAAACATTAAAAAGCCAATGATGATTATGTTCTGTTTGATTGATTAATAAAATGATAACATGTATTCATCATGATCATGATGACAGTACATTAATGGTTATCATGATGCTGATGATTAGGATGATTGCTTTATGCAGGTTATATAATGATAGTTACAATGATGATAATGTTGATGATTACATTGTAAACATTTGCAAAATGTTAATGATGATCCGAATAAGCTTAAATGATTATGACAATCAGCATTCAAAGAACAAGATGATGATGATGATGAAGAGGATGAAGATGATGATAATGATAACGATGATAAATATTATCTCAGTATCATGAATAAATCCAAATTATTAGTACTTGGTCATTCAAAATGATAATATAATTTCTAACTTACGATAAAGATATTGATCTAGAAAAATCACGACATTCATGATGAAATCAATGATATCTAATGATGAGAATGACACTGGTAATGATAAAGACATCATCAAATTCAGAGAAAAATGATGATAAAGAAAAATACAGAGGTGTTAATATTGTACCCTCACAATCATGTACACAGTACATCCATATTGATCAATTTGTATGACAGGTGTTAATTTCACAGCTGTGTGATCTAACATCATTTGTATGCTTTCCCATGTGAGAGAATATGCTTAAATTAATATGAAATTAGGTGCAACCTATGACACCTAAAGCCCTTTAATAACAAGCATAAAGTTTTCAATATATAAATTGGACTTTGCAAATAATGTGTAAGTGCAGGTATTTTTGTACCCTTAATTAGATACGAATGAATTGGTAGTGTTCAACCTATCACTGTAGTATTCCAAGACTGTCTCTAAATATCTTGGTTGCCATTTTTTGTTAATCTCTTTATTTGACGCAATTTAAACATGATGATTTATCAAAATATATATTAAAAAGTATCTTTTCATGTGAATCATCATTACTTCATTTCTTAGCAATGATTATAAATGACTGAATTGTGTAGTCGCTTTAACTACATGTTTTCAAAAGTATCCTGAAATCTAATTATAGCTCAATTATAAAACCAGTCCAAGATTTTCAAAATGGCGGCGCAAATCTAACTAAATATCATTCTCAAACATTTTACAATTTGACAAATATTTATTTATTGATTCTAATGTGATATCAATTTAACTTATACACTTCATACATGTTATCTAAGAGCACTACAGCCCTCGCGGGTCCTGTGGCCCTACTCAGAATTTCCTTGTATTAATCATTCTAATTGCTGTAATTTTTTAAAGATTATTTTGAGACCAAGGATGGCTTCATTATACACATGATATATTGAACTATACATTGGTTAAGTTACCGTCTGTCCTATTTTACGCCTTTTGTTTTTATTTGAAAAACACTGAACGCTCGTAATAGACCATTTCATGAATAAGTCCCTATGTGTCTAAGTTTTTACACAAGTTTCTACAACTTCCACTTATCGGAGTTTGATCATATATAGAGCATTCTTTTTAGCCTATCACATTTAAAACTCAATTTTTTATCATCTAAACAACTGGTGACAATGAAGTTTAACACTACTTTTCCCCTAAAATATAAACCAGAAAATTTTATAAAATTTCTTAAACCAATAGGCAATACTAAAATACATGCTTTACCCTTATAGAATAAATATAAGCTAAAATGAGAAAAGAAAAATAAATATTCATAGATATAATTGAAAACCATAGTAAGATACCCACAACTGAACTGAAATATTCCATAACTCTTGCATATAAACAGAGACAGGAATTATAATGTCAGTCAAAAATATCCAAGGACATATGAAAGCTTGAGTATGCAAACAATTCCAGATAGATATAAGAATGGCCCCAAGGATTGGAAGTTAGGATTTGTACACATGCTATGACATATAAAATAAAGACCTGCCTTTCTTCAAATGTTAACACCGACCTGTGTAGAGAATGAGTTACCAATTAAACATTCATGAATAATATAATTAAACTATGATCTTATATGAATTTACTTTTCCAGCTCCGTATTTCTTCTTTTACTTTAACCAATGCAATATTTTTGGGCTGAAAATTTTATATGAGTAGTAAAGAGTAAAAAGCATTATGCTAATTCATTTACCTTGTACCTGAATTTCTTAAATTGACTTGATCAGCTTCTATTTTTGGACCTGTCTATAATCAATTTAGGGGATATCAAGGTGAAAATTTTAAGTGAGTAAGCCAACAGTAAAAAGCCTGGTCAGGCTGCATGGATGTGCATTAAGTACTTGTGGCATTAAGTTAGTATAACACCAAGTCAGTTTCAGCAAGGTAAAGACTAATGAAATTGTAAGATTTGTTTATATCAAGAATTAGTGTATTACAGTTTTTAAGGTAACTTTATTGTCATACTTTAAATCCAATCTAGATAATTTACCTCGACCTTCCACAAAACAAATTCTACAAAGATTCATTGACACTTGACCTTCTCACTATACAGAAAATTTAATTACTATGAAATTATGCAGAAAAAAGGGAGCCTTTTATCATTATATAATTCAAACTTGACCTTAATGATGACCTGATGGTCATGTGACCTCAAACAGTCAACAAATATAGCAAAGTAAATAGCAAAATTTTGTAATTATACAAATCAACATTCTAAACATAAAAGGACTTTCTATTAATCTTCTTATAAAAATAAAATAAAAATGATATGTAATTCAGAAAAAAAAGCTGCAATTATGGAAATGGAAAAATACATGTATATATAATAAGCACAGTAGGTAAGATATTTTACCACACCACAGAGGGTATATTAAACAAATTATGATGAAAGTTTATTTGAATAACTATTTGAATGCAAAGACAGATACTGTATATACACAGAAAATATTTATCATTCATTAGAAACAAACAAGGTATGTTCTGAAAACAAAACACCCCCATTCCAACCAAATGTGTTAAGGATGGTTTGGCAAAAAAATGATAAAAAACTAATGTCAATTGGAAAAAAATATATTAGGAACACGCTTATACAGCAACATTCTTTAAGTAGTCTATGATTTTTTTCTAAATGTAAATTAACCATTTTCATTAAAACCTTAAAATGCTATAAATATAAAATGATATTTATCTCTCATGAAACAGTCTATATTTAAATTCAACAAGAGCTGTCCATAAGACAGGGCTCTTGATTATTCTGTGCTTGACAGAAAATGGGCATAACTCTGTAAAAAGTAACTCAAAGTTATGGGACCTGTGCCCATCATGTTAGATAACCACAGAGAAAAATGTTTGTAATTTCAACCATTTCTTTCAGTAGTTCTTAAGATACCAACTTGCACACAAAAATTTAACCAAAGTGCGACACCAACACCAGGTTAATACAATCACTCTCTCTATTCTTCAAATAAGTTAGCTAAAAATATATAAATATGAAAGGTAAGCACTTTATAAAAGTGGAATCTTTCCTTACCCTGATAGTAAAAAAGCTACATAAAGGTAGAATATTTCCTTACCCTGATAGTAAAATAGCTACATAAAGGTAGAATATTTCCTTACCCTGATAGTAAAATAGCTACATAAAGGTAGAATATTTCCTTACCCTGATAGTAAAATAGCTACATAAAAGAGGAAAATTTCCTTACCCTGATAGTAAAATAGCTACATAAAGGTAGAATATTTCCTTACCCTGATAGTAAAATAGCTATGTACATAAAGGTAGAATATTTCCTTACCCTGATAGTAAAAAAGCTACATAAAAGAGGAAAATTTCCTTACCCTGATAGTAAAATAGCTACATAAAAGAGGAATATTTCCTTACCCTGATAGTAAAATAGCTACATAAAGGTAGAATATTTCCTTAACCTGATAGTAAAACAGCAGGGTTTATACAGATATCCAATATCAAAATTCAAGCACTTTGAAGCAGGTTTTCCCATTAATCAAGCACATTTTATTGCACATTTATCATTTGTAACCAATGATGAATTAAGTTTAAAACTCATAAAACATTGGAAACTTTATTCTTAACTGCTAAATAACATACATTGTACATAATGTGATATTTATGTATTCTAGTATTCTAATTATTCTAGTATGACCAGCAAATTTAATTGTTATCATTGTTCATTGATATTTTTTTTGTAAAATGTCGATTTTTACCGGCAAGATGTCATTCAATCATTTTCAAGCAAATATACAACAAATTTAAGCACTGTCCAAAAAAGTGATGAAATTCAAGGACTTTTAAGCACTTTCACTTTAAGAAAGTGACTCAAATTTACGCACTTTTTATAACTGTACAACCCTGAATAGCTACATAAAGGTAGAATCTTCACTTACCCTGATAGTACAATAGCTACAGCATCATTAAGAACACTCTCTCCAAACACCAGTGCATACAGTGTTACATCCACATTTAAATCATTGAATATTGCCAACACTGTCACTGAAAAACAACAGCAATATTTGACAAATGCCACTTTTAAAGCTATCACAGATTCAACCTAATTTTACATTAAAGTCAGGTTTCCTGTATCATAACATATAATACTTAAAGTGGTTAGGTCTAAAATAGACACATTTTCTACAATTATTTTTCAAAATATTGATAAACAGTAGATAAGTATCAATAGGATATTCTTACATTTGTGTATAAAAAGTTATTTGAAAATAGAAAGTTCTAAGTGACTCGGAATTAACATTTATATGACAAATAATATTTTTGTTCCAGAACATTTCATTATCTGCTATATAAATAGATGTTACATCAGATCAAGTATCTCACACTTGACAACAACTTCCAGATAACAACTTTCTTGGTTTGTTGCTATGTCTGATACTAAATACTTTCAACATAATTATTCATTGTTTAACAGACGTTTCATCATAGACCAATTCACTTTAACAAATTTCCTAATCATACATTTGTAACACAAGAGGGCCATGATGGCTCAACTAAATAAAAATACTCTTAAATAATATTGTAAATTATAAATGAAAGCAGATATAAAATCTTAATCTTAAACTGATATCACAAAGTTCATACTTGCATCTAAAATTGTGCACATGTAAAATATCATTACTGGCTGCTATTGCTAAGGGAAGACAATAGTTACTGGTTGCTATACAAAAGTAATGGTTTCCTTGGAAGTTAGTGCCTGCTATGAAATTAAATAGTAGAATCACTTGTTGCTATGGAAAGTTAATGTTTGCTATGACAGTCACTGGCTGCTTTGGAAATTTACAGTTTGCTATGAAAAATCGATGGCTACTATATCACTGGTTGCTATGGAAGTAAATGGTTGGTATGGAAAGCAAACGGTTGCTATGAAAGTCATCAATGGTTGCTATGGGAAGTCAATGGTTGCAATAGAGGTAATTGGTGGTTGTGGAAAGTCAATGGTTGCTATGGGAAGTCACTGGTTGCTATGGGAAGTTACAGGTAGCTATGGAAAGTTTATGATTGCTATGTAAGTCAATTGTTGCTATGGAAAGTCACTGGTTGCTGTGGAAACTCACTTGTTGCTATGGAAATTTATGGTTGCTATTAAAAGTCAACAGTTGGGAGTCACATATAAGGAAAATATATAAAATGAAATATTAATATGCTTACCAGGATCAGTGGCTGATATAATTGCTCCAAAAAAGAAACAGTCATTCACTGTAAATGTCATAGGCAGAAATCTTGTAAACGCAAACATCAAACCACTGTAAATAAATTACAAAAAATCTACAATATTATCCATCAGCTGATTGTTGTTACAGATGATTCTAAATCTGTATTAAAAAGAGCACCTCAATTATAACACACTAGGGTATAATCAAGTATAAAATAGAATGGACTGATCTTTAACAAAATTATCTCATGCTACTTTGCTGGCTAAGAACTTTAAGTATGATCATTATCTAGATACAATTATTTTCTGCCATGTGTGCTTCATAAAATTGAATAAATTCAAAATAAAGAACTTATATATATCAAACATCTTCTAATATTGCATGTTTTTCACATCAAATTTCATCGATCAATCATGACGTTTATATAATCACGTTATTGTATGTTTTCAATAATAAGAAAAGAAAGAAGTAGAACAGTAGTATAAAGTTACTTATTTAAGCCTTTGGACAGGTTATATTATCAAGTTATTATAAAGATTTTTGACAGGTTATATGGGCCTATACAAATGGTTAACCGCAAGAGGAATATTGCAAATAACCATCTTTATACAGCCATATAACATGTCAAGAATCTTAATAACTGATTTATAATACAGCAAACTTACTTTATTAGAGAAAAAATGAAATTACTTCATAAACTGACTGCAGCTGTGTATCTAAATTATATATTCCTCAACTTGCACATACATGTATAGTAGTATATGTTCACAAAAGTTAGTAGGTCATATAACCTGTCAAAAATAATCTATAAATAATAATACAAATCTACATTAAGAGATGCCCATTTACAAATACATTGTATGTTGAATAGAACATTGACAAATGAAGTGTATTGACTACCTACCCAACAGCCATACATGATACAGTTGTTCCAATAAATGCATACATCACAATTGCTCCAAAATTTTTGAAAAAGTGCCTCTAAAAAATAAAAGAAAATATTGTGATATCGTGATAAAGTTATAATGAACCAAGTTATGAATGACCAATAATATAAACTTATTTCTTCAGACAGAAATAGCAAGATCCCTAATTAAAAACATATAATTTCTTTAGCAAGGAACTGATTAGGTTTATGTAAAACATTTACAAGTTTTCATCTTCCAGTAGCCACAAACGTTCTTAAGTTTATTTCATTATTGACTGTGAAAACCTAATAAAGTAAATGAAGTCAAACATTGAAACATGTTATAATACAATGTACATGTATAAGAAAGAAGTTTATGCAAACTCACTCTTTTCATACTGTACCCAGCTTCAAATATAATCACTGGCAAGAATACATTGAAAAATATTTCTGGGTCAAATGTTACCTGAAAAAAAAGAATAACACCAGTTTTTATTACATTGATGATGTGCAGAATCCTGTATTCTCACCTTAGTGCAGTGATTGGTTAACTCCTTCTATAAGTTAATAGGAGTTAATTCATTACTGCACTATGGTGACGTTATGACATTGTACCTTATCATACTATGGAATACATTTTTTTAAATATTTTTAAATCTTCAAATTCTTTGCAGTTGTTTTTTTATTATCTTTAAAGATCCTGTAACACAAATTTTTTATGGTTTTAAATCATAAATTTATATGATGCTCAAATTAAGATTTATCGATATTGTAGGTTCCAAAAAGCATTATTTATAAAGATATTACCAAATTTAACATTTCATGTAAATTAGAAATTTTTTTTCAATAAAGTTTAAGTCAAATTTTACAATACGAAATGAAAGCATATATTTTAATGATTACATATAATATGCACAAATATTTGCAGTACATATTTTACATATTCTTTGAGGTTTGAAAATTGTTTTATTTGCATAATTATGTACATATATATATATATATAATTTCACTTAGTGTGGTTAACCACTTTGATCACAACAAACAGGATCTTTAATATTGACAAGAGTTGAAAAGTTGTATGTTTAACTGAGTGGCTTAAGGTCATTTTGCTTTTTTTTATTCAAGTGGCTCTTAAATTGTCTTTACATTGTCATGTCCTATTTCTAGTTGAGACTTTTTGGTCATTTTTTCAATATAGAGCTTTTGTCCAGGATTAGTTCTCAAAAATCATAACTGGTAATGAGTTCTAGATAGCAGATATCCAAACATTATAAAACTATGCATCTATAAAACATTTTTTAATCTTTTAAAATTAGTAGATTGCTCCTTTTGCTGAAGCAAAGTAGTTAGAATTTTTTATATTTCATTTTTTACTTTCAGGAGAACATGTACTAACATTTATTCCTTTTAACATTTATAAACTCTCTAGTTTTGTTTTTCATTTTGCTACTTTATGAATTGTACTTGTTTGGTTTATATATACTAGTATATAATAATAAATATTTTTGCCTTATTATGCATTTCTATTTATCTCATAAAATCATTAATTATTTCCTAGCCTCAAGGGTCTGATAATAATCAAAATTTATGAAAACATATGTTATGTTTGCTAATAATCTAAATGCAGTGTCTAAAATGTTCTTGATCCGGTGTTGAAATACACATGTTTGTAAAACACATTAAGATCAATACATGAACATGAAATCAAATCAATCAATGCGTATTTTAGATTTTCTTTGCGTATTTCATGCTGATACGCATGCTATCTCTGCTCTGTGAATTTACGAGCATGTTATCATAAATACGAAAATCGCCGCTACCATTAGCACTCAATTGATCTCCTTGATTGGGAGACATTTTGGACCCGGGCCCTTTTTGCATTTTTTTTGTGATTTTTTGAGAAAATAATCGTTGTTTTTTATTCGTTTTTTTCTTTTTTGTTTTTTTTCTTGTTTTTATTTTTGGGAAATACCGAAAAAAAACCGGGTATTTTTGAAACGGTTTTTCCCGGTTTAAATTTATAAAACCTTTTTGGGTACGGTCTAATCCAACCCGTACCCAACACTAATATAGACGAGTGAATTTTTTTTCATTTAGGGGGTATTGGTAGAAATAAAATTTTTTAATACAACAAAAATTTGTACAATTTAACTGCACTTTTTTACTTACTTTTTTTCAAGTGACCTCCTCTTCTATTTTGCTATATTTTATCTAAATTAATTTTTTTCATTTTTTAGAAAAATATGTGAAATTAACAAAAAAGCCTCTGGGGTCTGCCTTGTCATACTTCTGCAACACAGCATGAGCTGTAGATTGAACATTTGGATGACTTGTGTAACGGATTACAGCTCCCACAATCAACCCTGAAACACAGAAAGTATTGATTCATCCATATTGTCAAATACACAGTGAAGCTTTAATTGACTTATATCAGTTAATATTGAATTTGCACAGTGCCCTACGCAGGTCAGAGCCATGCTGTCCGCTGGATCAAAAGAGATAACAAGCACACATGAAACATTTAACCCCTTGTAATAGGCTTAGTAATTAGGAGGAAGTCAACTACATTGTACATTTGTAGTCTAGGATTTCATGATATTTATGGATAGTCAAGAGATTTATAGATTTTTCAATCCATAAATTTACAGATATTCAATGAGAAATATATATGCTGTTTTGGGTTGAATACTTTAATTTGCAGTATTATTTAAGGAGATCTGCTTTATTGATTGTTTCCATTAACAAAGGTAATGAGATAAGTTTCATTTTTATATGAGGAGTTTGATGACTTTAAATTTTTTGTAAAAAGTGAAAATTACAAGTCTTCAAATTGCTCTGAATCTTACCATACTGTTGCATTTCATTATACAATCATTAACCGTATAATTAATTATATTTAACCTGCAGTTTTGAATTTTAATACAACTTGTACTATTTTCATTCTTAATCAATTTAATGTCTATAAATTTACTATATAAAAGTCTATAAAATTATGGATGGTCCATTACTTTACGGACAGTCCTTTTAAATACAATTAAATCCTAGACCTGGTCAAAGGCTGGGACTGTGAAGGGGGCCCAGTTTTGGCTTGCCCGGCAATACGCAACACGTCTATATTTACAATGTAAAATCAAATAAAAAAACAATAAAAAATATATATAATTCTATACCTATCAATGAAATATTCAGTATCATTTCATTTCTAGATGGGCAACACTGTTTTTTAATGTAACACAATGATAATCAACAGAGGGTACTCTGATAACAGTCAGAACAATTGCAACTTTTACTACAGTTTTAGACTAAAGAATAAATGCCAAGGTGTTCCTGTTGAATTTGCAAGAAATACTAAATGACACTTTTAAAACAATAAATGAACAATTTTTTTTTTACCTGACGGGGAACGTTCAAAGGCTATTAAGCATTTGCCTACTTTCATATTACAATCTTCAGATGACTCACAGTCATGCACTTTGATCATACCATAATTCGGTAGACAGACGTTTCACTATTGAGACGGTTCACACCAAGACGGTTCACACCAAGACGTTTGTCAGGAGAAATGTCTGCCTTGATGTTATTTAATCTAAGAAAAGATTTAGTAATAAATACTAGAACCAATTTCCAAGATATGGAGGCTGGGCAGCACCGCCTGACATAAAAGTGAAATATTCTCAGTTGGAAAACTAGCATGTAATTGTTTAGTTAACACTATCTTTTTTTTTAGGTATTTTTATCCTTTTCTATCTCAAATCAATATATACATGTAAACAACAAACTCTGATTATTATTTACACCCAAACAAAGAACTCTGATCATTATTTACACCCAAAACAAACACACATCATTTATCAGCCACTTATATGAAATATCTTTT